CCGTTGGCATAAATAAGACAGCTATCAGGCCTGTGATGTATGGAGTCCCCCCATCCCATACTGAGGGGCTGTGTATAAAGGGTGTGTGGATGTACCTGTCCCTCCTGGCACCAGGGATACGAACCAAGGAGTGAGTTCTGTGTTTTTAGTTACCCGGTGCTGGTTCATCCCACACAGCTTGGGCCGTGCTTTTGGGGTGCCATGGCTGGTTGTCGCTGTCACCTCAGCTGTGCCCCAAACACAGCAGGGCTGGTGTCACTGTCACCTGGGCCATGCCCCAAACACAGCAAGGCTGGAGCTCARGGACTCACCTTGGCCATGTCTGAGCTCCTGGAGTGACGAGGTCATTTTTCACGTGATGCAATGACAGTGACATGGATGGAAAGAATCTTTTCTTTACCCAGAGCAGAAGTTCACACAGGTTCTTAAAGGATTTCTGCAAGTACTGTGAAGTCACCTGTTTAACTGTCTGTGACTCCAGACAACTACTCAGGGCTGCTGAGAAAACCCAAGGAGCAGAATGAAACAGTTGGAGTCTGTCCCTGAGCAGCCAGCTCTCAGCACCGGGGTCACCCTGCCACAGCCAGMACGCATCTTCTGAGGCCTGGGCAGCCACAGCACCTGCTCCCCCAGGCAAAAACCTTCTAGGACTGGTCCAATTATCAAACAACCTGACTGAGTTTGTTTTCCCAGACAGGGAAACCAGMAGGATAGAAAAAGTTTCACCTCCAACCAAAGCAGAAACTTTCTGAGGTTTTGACTGATTATGAAAACATGAAATACTTCAGTCAATAAGTGACATTCCTTTCAACCGGAAATTATGTGCTTTGGTTTACACACACTGGAAGCYTTTCTTTGGTATCTTGTTTTAGTCAGAAAATATTATAAGCATGCAAAGGGATTTTTGAAGGTAAAAGAAAGTCTCAGAGTTATCAACCCTTGGTACAGGTGCYGTTTCCAGATTCTTCCCTTCCCTTGTCCTCCATCAGCCTCTAATCTTCCCTTTTGTCCTAACCAGCCAAGGACTGACCCGATGCATCTGTTGACATGTGACAGGATTCCACTACCTCTTTAGTTTTATAGTAATAGAATTTGTTCTTTCTRAATTTATTATGCTGTCAAATAAGATTTCCAAAAAGAGCAGCTTGCATCAAAGGATGCAAAAATGTTTCCCTGTTGTTAACTCAATTCTCTGTTTTGCAGTCACTTTGGATTTTCTCCTGGGCTGGCAAAACGAATTTTCAGCATTCAAAAATTTAAAGAGATGGTATTTTTTTTTTTTCTGGGAAGAACCAGCTTTAAAGTTTAAAGGAAAAGTATTTAAAATTAAAATTTAAAATTGAGTTAAGAGGCTAAATGATTTTAAAGACTTTAATTTTCAGGTGATCTAATGATTTTTGTGGTCAGAAGTTAAAATTTGAACAGCTCTCATAATATATCATAAGTATACCTGAACTTTCACAGCAGCTGTCATGCCATGGACACTTCTTTCCAAATCCCCTGCCCATGCACTTCCTCAAAGCAGTTGCCTCTTAGGGTCAGACAACTCACAATTCAGGCTAGGCAAAGGGCAAAAAAAGAAACTTTTAAAAAAGAGAAGACATTGTATCTGTCTTAAATTACCAAAACCTCTTCTAGATAAACAAATACGTTGACCATGAAGGACAATTTGGCAACGCCATTGAAGTCTGATCTCAGGTGTGGGATGCTTTGTGCCTCTCCCTTAATTTTTTTATTGTACATGGTAAGAACAGTGTTCATGTCAGGGGCCAAAGGAAGCACAGCACAGCACAGGGCAGCTGCAGAGCTGGGAGCCCCAGAGGACCTGTAACTCCGTGCTCCATTGCTTCATACAGGAACAAACTCCTGTTCTGTATTCTCCCAGAAATTTATTCTGCAGGACTGAACACAGGGAGCAAAAGGGGAGCTGGTGACTCTCCTCTGCCTTGTAGTACTATTTCTGCATGCTGGATATTGGATATTGGATATTGGATATCGGATGAAGAAGGCAACAGGAGCTGGGCAGAGGCAGAGTGACCCAGCTGGCAGGGCTGCAGTGCCCTGGCACAGAGCCACAGCACAGCCAAACAGTCTCCAGCGCCAGGTCTGCCATGGCAATAAGGGATGGCTGCCAGAGCCCGTCATGTGGGCAAAGCCATGTGAAAGCACGGCGCTGAGAGTGGCTGCTGCCATTGTGGCTCTGTTCCCACCTGTGCTTGCTGCAGCCAGGACGCTTCAGGAGCGAGGGCGTCCCAAGCRCTGTGGGGCCTGAGCGAGGACCTGAAGGACACAGAGATGCCCACAGTGACCCCTGCCCACAGCACACACAGCCTGGGCCATTCCCTGCAGACCTTTCACTCCCAGGAAAATAATTTCCCTACAGAGGGAATGGACCAGGCAAATTATGCCTGAGTTCACCATGAAAATTTTAAATTTTTATAGTGAATGCAGACATCACCTAAATGGGCAAATTAAATGCAACCTGATTTTATTTCAGGATTTGTTTCTTTTTTCTGTCTCCCCCATTTACTCTGTGATACACACTGCCTGTGCTGCATGTTCTGCAGTCAGAGCAATTTGCCTTCAGCAGTGTTTGATCTTGTGGATTATGTTCCTAAGATCCTAAATCTAGTAAACTGCTCATATGGGTTTGGTTTTTGGGGTAGCATTTTAGCTTCTTGTTAATGCTCCCATTGCCTGGGACTAGGATATCACCAGCCAGTAGAAAATTGAGAATGTGCAGAATGTGCTACCTGTGCAGTGCCCCAGACAGTGCTCCCAGGTGGGAGGTGGGCAGGGCCCCTGGAAGGTCCCTTAGAACTGAGCAGGAGTTGTCACTGAGCCTGGGTACTGTGGCAGACCCATCAGGTGGCAGTGAACATCACTCTTGCCTCACACTCCGCTCCCTGTAAACAGACTCATGGAAGCTGCTAGCTGTGATTTTTCCTCATTTTTTTGTTTTGTTTGCACTCTTACCACCCCTTCAAAGACAGAACAGTGAAGCAGGTTTAAGGAAGCACAGTGTAAGCTTAGTGTCAGATGCCTACTGCTGCTGTTGGTTTGTAACATGGCATTATTTCAGGAAATTCTCTGGAAGCAGACAAAGGCTTCCACAGAGCTGGATCTATTTTAGTACAACATTTGCAACTTGGCATAATTTTCACAGCCAATAGGGCGAATACAGAGCCGAGGGGGAAAGTTATTACAGTCTCAAGGTTTTCCTTCTGAGTCCACATAATAATTGATTTTCTAGAACTTTGGCATTGGAAGCAACCTTGGCDCCAGTTGTGCTGGTAGTGCCTTCACAGTGCTCTCTTCTGCATGGCTGGGCCACGCTTGCACTGACCAGACACAAATGTCCAAACTAAACAGTGCTTAAGGCTACATTTTTCTGTTAAAATGAAACCCTATACTGGACAGAGAAACATAAATACACAACCTGATTAGGTTTTCTTCCAGTACTGGTAAYCTCTGATGAAAGCTCCTGCCCTCTAACAGAATTGTCATTGTATTAACTGACACACTGAGCAGTGAARAAATGCTGTGGTTATATTCAGCTTGGGGCACTGGTGTCATCTTTTTCTTGCCCAGGAATACCTACGGATTTCCCTTTCACTGCCTTCCACTCTTTGATATATTTATTATCTCTACAGTCATCCTGTCCAAAACATGGGATATTCATGAGGGATGCTCATGAGAGGTTCCTCAGCTGAAGGTGATGAAGTCTCACACTTCAACTAAAGTCTAATTTATGAAATTAACTTCATTCTACAAGTTCTTTAATCTGCCTGGACCAGTCCTTCTTTCCCATCATAACTGTGGTCTAACATTGCTGTGAGTAGGTAACTGATTCTCTCTCTGGTCCTGCATCATCACATTATAGTGAAAAACACTTGAGAGCATCTAGAAAATCTGAGTACCATTTCAGAGAATGGGCGAGAAGAGCAAAGCTGTGTTGGAAATTCAGATGTTGGGCCAGTATTAGACCATATTTTGTGCTTTGAGAAAAAACTGTCCTTTCTCCAGTGGGATCCTCTGCATTCATAGTACGTGAATGTTCAGGTGTTTTACTGGCTCTGTATGGGTAAAGTTGTTGTTTCCTGGAGCTCTGCTGTCCTATGGCACAGCACCAAAGCCGTGCATCTAGCTGGGAGGCAGARTGTCCTCTGGGCTGTGGGGAACTATTGCAGGAAGAATCTAGCCCAAGCTGAAAATTTTTGTTGTTTGGRATATCATGGAGCAGCCATGATGGAAGCTGAGGCCCTAAATGCCATGTGTGATGAGAGAGAAGTACTAGGTGTGAAAAAAAAGGTGTGGGATTGGAGGAGCACCTCAAGCAGGGAGCTGAAGATCAGAGGGAAACAGAGCACAGCTCAGAGCTGCCACTGTGGCACCTGCTCTAAGGCCAGCATAAGCCCGAGGAGACTTGGGCCAGCAGCCAAAACTTGGTTCCACTCCCAGAAAAGTCAACAAAACCCATTTGAAGTGCTATGACTCTGTGCTGTGCTGTGTGCTGGGGGCTTGCCGGCATTGCTGCTAACAGCAGGAGTTTGTTCCTGTGTGGGGCAATGGAGCACGGAGTCACAGCACTGCTGGCTGTGATGCAGGAACTGCCATCTGTGGGCAGGATCTCACTTGGCTTCAGAGTCTGACTGCTCTGGGAACTACCCACACATTTTCCTATTTAATAAATCCCTTCCCATGRTGTCATTCTCAACATCAGCTAATTGCCATCCCATACTGATAGAAGAGGAGTTAAAATTTGTTGAGAACTTCAAGACCTGAGYTGTCACCAGGGTCTTTTATGTGGTAAGTGTTAAGATAGAACATGCTGAMAAATGACACTAGCCAGGTAAAAGGTCAGAAGCCACTGCCTATCAGGAATGTCAAACACTACTCAGTGATGGTTCTGACTGTGCAGCATTCCTTTTCCCTGTCTCMTTCCTTAAAATAATTTTTCTTAAACCACAAAAATTTTGTCTTTCTTTTCTTCTTCACAGACAAGCAGGGCAAATACAGAAACAATCTTCAGAGATGTTCTCCAGATATTTTTCCTTCTTTGGTCTGTGTCTTTTCCTTCCAACCCAAAAGTAAGTAGAGGATTTTTTCTGTTTTAAAGGGAACATTTGAATTATGTTTCACATAAATAATTAAATAAYGTGGGTCAAAAGGAAACTGTGCTTCCAGTTATCCAGCCCATCCAAAGGAAGCAGGGTACAGTCAGGGATGCAATCTGCATAGATCCCTAAACCRTAACATGTCCATTAACAGTGCTACCCCTGATTTCCTTGTTAAAACCAGCACAGTTAGTAATTTTTTTACCAGAAATGCCTCCCACAAGGCTTCCAGCCCTGAATTATGAATAATTCTCTTGAATTATTTACATACATACTGTGCAAAACCTGGTTCTGGTCAAAGGTCCTGTTTAGTCTAAATCCTAGCTCCAAGGCCCTATTAACCCAGTTTTAAAGGAAACAGAAGAAAAAAGCTTGGTGAGAGCTGTGAGTAACCCCATGGCTGCTTCCTGGCCAGAGCAGGGTCCTGAGAATGGGGCTCTGCTTCYCACCTCCTCCTACCCAAAGCAAGAACAAACTCTTGACTCTTCACTCAATTACATTTTCCTCAAGTGAGCRTGTGACCACCCTGCAACATAAACTCTGACCTTTTACAGGCCAAACCCCTGCACCTCTCACTGTCTGGGTGAGGATGCARGTCTGTCTGCCTCATAGTACAGCGCCTGGCTTCAACGTCCGGCCACAAAACATATATTTTGACATTGTAATTTAGAGTTGGACTCTCAGTATGCCCAGCAGCTGGAGCTGAACTGCCCACAGAGCTCTGGAGGTGTCTGAGAAGTGCACAGTCCTCCACCTTTCCCCTCCAGTATTGCTCCTGACAGCAACTGTAGGAGCTGACACTCACATCTGAGKATGAAGCTTATCTAGGGCACTAGAGATTGGAGAGGAGGAGCTGTTGGCCAGGAAGATTTGTCCCAGGTTGTCATAAACAAGAGGAAAAAAGAAATACATGTTCGTTATGTAGACTGTATAAGGAGTGGGAAGGGGAGATTGGGGGGTTATTGTTAAGACTTGTGATCTACAGACCTTGCTTGATTTTTCTGTGATAATTTAAGAACATTCTTAAGATACTGTGTGTGCAATCTATAGCTATCAGCTGAGGCAATTTGCTATTTTCCACCTCTGGAAGGTGTTCATTGTTCAGCCAAGACAGCAGTGTGAGCAAATGCTCGTGATTTCCATTACCTACTTGGTTTTAATAACTATTTAATCCAGTTTGTTTGCGTGTTTGAGCACAAGCTGGAAACAGCTGCAGCTACACACCAGATGTGCTCAGCCCAGTCAGCCACATGTAACAGTTCATGTTTGTATCCCCAGGAGATGCTCTCTGGGCCATGGATCCCGCTTGCATGGCAGGGACACCACTTCCCTCCCTGGATTTGAGAACCTCACCATGGGATACAACAAATACCTCCGGCCCTACTTTGGTGGTATGTTGGCTCCATACATGGGAGTGTTTAAAATTTGATGTAACGCTCGTGTGGAGGGGAGAGCAGGCTGTAAGTTTGCTTTAGCATGCTGCAGTTTTKAAGGTTGTTTCTTTTAAATGAGTTGGTGTCACAGGCTGCCCTTTCTGTGCATCCRTTGGTGCCTTGAACAGCTGATGCCTGTATGTGTGGGGCTTGGGAACATGTCCATCTGTGAGGTTAAAAGCAGAGAATTTATAAACTCTTTATGAAAGACCTGACTAAATAACTAAATTCTGCTCTAACTATACAAGCTTCTGTTTAGAGCCTGACCCTTGTGATTTTCTGCTTTACTTTTGTTCATGTACAACTATTACAGCTATTTAGTAGATTGTAGCTATAGAGGAACAAAGCCATTCTTGCCAGGAATATTGACTTTTGACGCATGTTTTCCCTTCACACTGAGACACAAACTTGTTTCAAACCCTGGTGAGACTCTGGGGAGTTGGGATCAGGSAGGTATTTAGGAACTTATCTGAGGCTATTGAGCAATTAGGCTGTAAAGTTTCCCACCTTCCAGGTGAGTGCTGTCATTGCAAGAGGAAAGGGTTTCTCAGAATGACATTCAGCACCTGGAAAATATCAGTGTGAGTTTAACAAATAGCAATGACCATTTTTATTTCTATTAATTTTGGTTTTGTGCCTGAACCCRTTAATGAAACCCTGCTAGACAGAAAGATTTCCCATCACAAGGGCTTGGATGTTTSCCATTGCAGACTGACCAGCTGCTACTGGCAGGTCTGAGTTTCTTCCTTTTTCTGACCATGGTAATAAATTTCTGGGACRATACAGAATTTACCATCTCGTTTTGCCTAGAATGGCTGACCTGATGTAGGACTAGAAAAGTTCCTCTAAATCCTGTGACACCAGTGAGTAGGTGCCTCCTTATGACATTGCAGAGATCAACTGCATCTGCAGCAAACATTAAACAGAAACAATCAGGATCTGGTGTGACCTCCCCCAGAGGCTGAGTCCTCACAGATTTATGCTGTAGYCAGTAACTGCTCTGGGCTTCAAGAGTCTGAATAGACACAGACAGCTACTTAAAAAAAATACACCTTTTGCAAATGAAATATATTTGTGAGCAGCTTAAAACAAACAAACAAAGCCAAAACGGCCTGGAGAGAGGTTCAGAAATTGTGTCTATTGGTCGTTCCTCACTGTGATTTAGATGATGAAATGGAGTGGCAGCARTCCCGTGAGGAAAGGCGCTGCTGTGTTGTCACCCAGGCAGAGAGGGCTGTGAGCGCTTGGAGCCCCGCGGGATCGGCCGAGTCTGGCCCGGTGCGGGGTCCCCCTGTCCCCATATCGCTGTGTCCC